AGATGCCGGAGAAACAGGTTCTCTGGTTTTTGTCTCGATGTTTTTTTCCCCTTCTTCCTTAAATAGCAACGTGAGCGGTCGCAACAGCAGAAGTGGTTGAGCCCACCCACCCAACTGTGCCCACCCGACCGTGCCCTGCCAGAGTTGTATAAACACGAGGGCTTGGGTCGAGACGGGGCAGATGCGGAAGGCACTACGGAGTTTTAATGCACGGTGCGTTTGACGTTCAAGCTTCTAAAGCGCTGCGCCCGAACGTCATCAGTGTTGGGCCCTCCACCGTGTGCATCTTGACCAGCGTCGGTGAAGTATGGTCAAACAACGGCCACGACAAGACGTAGCGTGGAGAGGCCGTCATCCAACGGTGGATTGACATAGGGGCTGTAATTTATTGTCTTTACGTGACGTCAAGCAGACCGGTGCTTTGTTTAAACTTGGTGAGAGCCCTTTTAGACTAAAAGTATTATTTTTCAGGGGATACCTGGATCGCTAAAGAAACAGCGCAATGTCAACATTAACAACATTTGTCTATCCACTGCTGGATGAAGGAATCCCTGTGCCATCACAATCCCACATGGTACAACAATAGCGCTGTAGTTGAAAGGGAATGCTCACCCCAATAACATCTGGTAAAGCAACATCAGTATTTTTTTTTTAAAAACAAACTCGACTCTGCTGACAAGACCCAGACAATTTAAACTGTTCTGGAGTTTATTTGTTCAAAAAAATTCTGCTAATTAATATCAGCCTGGAAGACTGATACGCAAAAAATATACTTTATTTTGACGTGGAGATAACACAGTTCGCGTGGAAATCAAATTATTTACCTAATATTCAGGACACGGAGCGACACTTCGGCCAACGTCACGAGCAACAGGGCCATCCTGCAGAAAGAGTCTCAAGTCGTTCCTGAATCAATAAATGACGGGCTATTGTCGTTGATCGCCGTCAACATCGGCCGTGATCAATATCGGTAGAATAAAATGTGTTTTTACCGCCTTGAAGTGGGTGTCTTAATGGCACTCACTTTGTAAAAAATACTAAAAACATTTTTTTTAAAGAAAGTGCCCTCCGCATGCTTTCTCTGCGCTGCAGTTAAACTGTCGATGTGGTTTTACTCGGAACGGCTCTTATCTGTCACGTCACGTGTGGCTTCATGGCCCATGGCGATTCTGTGGATGAACGATCTCACGATTTGGCAACGAGATTCGATTCGAGAACCGATTATTTCTCGTCTCCATTCTTGCCGCATATTTTAAATGCTTCCCAATTATGGATGTAACCATGAATGCATTCGTTAAACTAAACTATTTTATTTTACCAGGTAAGGCCCACTTTAGCTATATAGCTCTTTTTCAGAAGCGACCTGGCCACAAATTATAGCTCAACGAAATTGCATATTATGTGGAAATGTATAGCAGCCAAATACTCTAAACGCACGTTGATTCTAAATGTGGGGGCTGAAAACCGGAGGACACGGAGAAAAATTCAGACGGACACGGGGCGAACATGCAAACTCAGAATATACAGCAGGCGTCAGGTTCGGGATCGAACCCACGATTTCCTGTATACCAGGCGAGGTAATTAACATCTCCTAGCCACCGCAGCTCTGTCCGTTTGTCTCTCCATCTGTCTGTAACACAAAGGGGGGGGGCATGATATCTGTTGTAAAGTTGGTCCCAAACGAATACAACGTGAGTGGAAAGTCAAGTCGCCGGTAGGGACACACATCCTATTGATTGGTTGATCAAAGTGTTTCCAAAGACCGGCGCAAAGATCTTAAGTTTGCACGTTTGCAAACAACTTTGTTTTCGTGACAGTTACCCGTTTGGTTTTCATTCTGCAAATCTTATATTTCTGAGGACAAGCGAATGCTCAGAGCGAGCATGATATGAATCCATGCATTTGCATTTTCTAGTTTCCTTTTTTTCTGTTTCAACTGGCCCCAATTCTGCTTGTTGCAGTAACCTACACCGTACCGAACTAATAAATTATAAGGTCGTATTTATTGCACACAAAGTGCTTGCCACAAATGAACCGCAATACCTTACTGATCTTGTCAAGGAACTCCAGTCATCCTCACAGCGTTTTTTGGCTGGCCATCGAACAAAGACGGTTGCTGCATCGCGCGCTTTCACATGCGCTTCTGAAGCCGTCTGGAACGCTCTTCCTTGCGATGTTAAGAAGCCACCGGAGCTATGCACTTTTAAATCTCGACTGTAAACGAATTTCTTTAGAACTGTTTAGTTGTTGTCACTCCGCACATCCGATTAGCACGGTTGGCAATGTACAGCACGAAAGAAGTTCAACGTACGTACGTACCACTTGGCACAGGATTTACATGAATAGCAAATGCTCCATTGCGACTCTCACGTTTGACGCGCATATCAATCACGTTAAAAATAAAAATCGATTTCTAAACAACAATTAAATGTACCGTTCGCCTTTCGGCATTGTTCTCTTGTCTGACACTGGTGATACCAGGCCCTAAAGAAGGCTGTCTCTGGTGTAGGCCAATCAGTTTCAAAGACAATGCATCATATTTTTCAGAGCCATGCTTGTTTGCGAGTTCACCACAAGTACGCAAAACGTTTCTATTTGGTGTTTGAACATTGTCACACCTGTTTTATTGCCAGAGAGGGTAAAACCTACTCTTATTTTTTTCATACTTTGATACTGGCAAAAAGGTCCCATTTTGTAGCTGCTCACCCCACGCTATAGATGCTCTGATAGTGCATTGTCTTTGTGCTGTTCGCCTTTTGGCGTTGTTCTCTGGTCTGAGACTCATGAGAGGCAAGGCCATACAGAAGGCTGCTTTCTCTGGTGTAGGCCAATCAGTTGCAGAGACAATATATTACATATATTGTGTTATCAGAGCCATGTTAGTTTGCATGGTTACCGCAAGTACCGTGCGTGGTTAATGCAGTACCTTGATTCCTTGCAAAAATGTTTCTCTTTGGTGTTTGAACATCTTAACATCTCTTGTTATAGTGCCAGAACGGTGTAAAGCCTATTCTTATTTTTTCATATGACGTTGAAATCGTCGTTCTCGATAACCCTCGGCGCCTGAGGTTCTCCAATCGTTTTCTCTGCTTTGAAAACCCGGGGCGCTCGCTCGCTCGCAGAAGTCACCCACGGGGCGATCAGAAGTCGCCCAACGCTCGTGTTCATTACACGTCTGCTCGACCGGCGCGGTGAAGTGTGCTCAACAGAGATGTTTTTATTTTCGTACGATTGTTAGCGCAGCAGCGGCCTCAATCACGTCGGGGGGGGGGGGGGGGGGGGGGCGAGACTTTGGAGAGGCCTTGCATCGATATGATCGATGTAGTGTCGCGAAGAGGTGCCATTGCCCGAAACGACGACTCTTGTATATTTTTCTTGGCGAACGTGTTTCGGTTGTTGTTGTTATTTATGCTTGCGCACCAAGCACTTGTGCGTGCGTGCGTGCACACGTCCCGGCGAGCTTCGTAACGTGTGTTCACCTGGCACTTGAACGTTGCTGCCGATGCACGAAGCGTGTTGACACGCCGATGTTTGTCTTTCGCGTGTCACTCCCTGCGTGTGTCATTGGGTGCGTGCCTCTTGTGTGTGTGTCAGTGTGGGGAGCGGTGGTGTAGCGGTTAGCGCTACACGGCGCTACGAACCCGGCAGAGGTGCGCGAGTGCGTTTCCCGCTCGCGGCCACTGACATCGGTGACGATTATATGAACTGAACCCGGGCCTCCCCTAGATACACTCAGCCTCAAATAAGTACCCAGTGCGATGTGTAAACATCGCCATTGGGGAGACAAAGGCGGCCGGGCGTGGCGCTGGCCACCCACCCCCTCGCGTGCCGTGCCGGCCTTCGTAGGTGCTCACTAACAGCACTTGCCCCAACAGTCTATGCAGGCTACACGGGGGACTTTGGTGTTTGTATCATTGTATGTGTGTGCGCCCGCGGGGTGGCACAGGGGATGGCGCGCTGCACTTTGAACTTGGAGACACGAGTTCAATCCTTAGGCCATAACTTTCATATTTTTCTCACCTTGCCTGATTAAATAACCCCAGTGGTGTCACACGTACTCGGACAAAGGTACTTTTATGAATCCACTCTGGGATGACGATGATGCATTTAGCTGCACGTACGTGTGCAACCAATGACTTACTCCACATATAATCCATGATATTTAAAGCTACTTGGTAATTACCTTTGAAGTGACACCCGGTCCGTATTATTTTTGAGGATTTCAAAATGTTTCACTCGGCTCGCCGCATTTGTGTAACTGCCCGAAAGTTTCGCTTCACCTTGGGTGCGAGCGTGGTTTGTGTTCACGTGTGCGTCTGTGCATGCTCGCTCGCCCCTCTCGCCCGTGTGTTTGTGGCGCTCACTCACGCACGTTAGCTGTAGTGCAGAGGTCAGCGCACTGTGCTTTTGTAACCCGGTGACCCGATTTCGGTTCCCGCTCACGGCCAATAGCAGTGCGGAGCATTTGAGCCAGTCGTGGGGCCTCCTCTCCTCGGTACACTCGGCTTTGAATGAGTAGCTGAAGAGGGGGTCGGCGACCGAAATAACAAGAAGAGCCATTTTTTTTTCGGATTCGGTGAAAAACTCCACATTTCAAGAGCCGCCAATGCACGCTCTCATATACGTACGTACACGCGTGCGTACCTTACGTCACGAAGCAGCCCGTAAAGAGCCGTATGCGGCTCCGGAGCTGCAGGTTACCGACCGCTGGAGTTTGCTGGTGCCGTGTGTGTACAAACATCTGGATTTAAAACTCATTCCTTTAGAACGAATTTTTGTGTTTAGTTTGTTGTCCTTCCCCCGCACCTGAGTACAGCACGAAAGAAGTTCGACAGCATACGTACACACAGCACTGGCGAGACAAAGACGTTCCGGGTCGTGGTGCTGGCCACACGCGGCCTCGTGCGTCGTGCCGGCCTTCATAGCTGATGCTCGTTAGCCGCACTTGCCCCAACAGGTCTGCATGTCTATATGGGGGATCTTTGTCTTTGGTGGCACAGGGACACGGCGCTCCCGATGGACGTGGCTCGCCAGCGCGAGATGAAGTGGCTGGACATGCTGCAGCACTGGGACAGGTGGATGCCCAAGCGATACCAGAAGGTGAGTGAGCAGAGGCCGGGCGGCTGGGTTTGCCTTGGGGTTAGGGTTAAAGTTCACATTGGGGTTAAAGGTTTTGGTTACAGCTATGGTTAAGGTTTAAGCTACGGTTAGTTTTTGGTTAACGGTCGGGGTTAAGGTTATATGTTTTTGTTGGAGTTAGGTCCACGGTTTAAGGTACAATTAGTGTGAGAGTAAGCGTTAAGACGAGGGATAGGTTTTAGCATAGAGCTAGGGGCTAGATATCATGTTAATATTTGGGATAATGTTAAAACTTCAGTTAACATATAAGCATTATATTTAATTACAGTTAGTGTTGAAGTAATAGTTATGGTAAGGTTCATGGATAGAGCTAAGGTCACGGGGTTAAGGTTTAAGCTACGGCCAGTGTTCAGGGTCGAGTTGGCTGTTTTAGGCACTTGGGTTACAGTTCGGCTGGGCCACCAAAAAGGTTTTTGGAGGCCCAGGGCAAAATGCCTGACGAGGCCTCCTCTTCCTCCTCAAGTGCCCCACCTGAAAACTGCCCCCCCCCCCAACCACCTTCTCAACGGCCCTGAGGTTTTGTCTATGGTTAAGGGTACAGTTCGTGTTTAGGTTGAAATTTGTTCTACCTGTTAAGAAGCTTTGGTTACAGTTATGGTTGGATTTAAGTTACCATTACGGCTGGAGTTGGGACAAGGGGATAGGTTTTTAGGTTTACGCTAAGGCTAGACCGGAACGTTGGGGGTTGAATTTATTGGTTTGGGTTGGTAAGGGTAAGGTTAAGGTTTAGATCCCAATATCATGCTTGAGATCGAGTGATGATAAGGGATAGGTTTGCGGTTAGAGCTAGGGCTAGAATTAGCGTGAGGGCTTTAAGGTGAGGGCCAGTTTGAAGTTGACATCCGAAAGAAAGCTACCAAATTCCTGGGAGGCTCAACCGGGACACATCTTGACCGTGTAGTCCCTCCGTCCGTTTTCGCCGCCCACTTTTGCATCGCCACGCCCGCTCAACCGGTGACACCGGCACGAGGCTTCTGAGAGCCGGAATACCGCCGGGACTGTCCCGGCCACGGCAGGATGCTCTGGGTCACTTTGGCTACGCGATCTTTTAGGTTTGAGGGTCGTGGACCTCGACTTTTGAAGGGATGGAAGTTTGGGTTGAGTGGGCCGAGTGGGAAGGCCCGGGGGGCGGGGGGGGGGGGAGTTCACGAAGGCGTGAAACCGGTCGGGCGAGCACCGGGAAAGAAAGTAACTCGCTGGAAAACAGACGAGACCAGCGGCTGTGAGGCTGCGTGTAGGTGCTCGTGCGCGCGTGCATATACAGTGCGCGTGTTCACATACACCGCGAGCTCACATACCTGACCTCAAATAGGGCATTGTCTCTTTTAGAGGCCCGAGGAAATACACTCGGAGGAGCGAAAGCTCCGCTTGTTTGTTTGTTTGTTTTTCACACGGTCGGTCAGTCCGGGAGGAAGTCTCAGGACCCGGCAGCGTTCCAGCAGAGAGAAAGAGAGAGCTGTGCTGGTGATAACGATGCCTTTTATTGACCACGAGGGCACCAGTTGGCGCACTGCGCTGTGACCCAGTGTGACCCGAGGTCAATTTCCGGCCACGGCCAACATCGGCGGCGAGTCATACCGGAATCGGTCTGACCATCCCGAACCCCCCCACAAACCCCCCACCACCTCCAACCCACCGCCCCCCTTCATCATCTTGCACCGACCAGCGTGGTGAAGTATGGCCAAACGGCTCACAGCATGGGCATGACGCGTGGGTAAATAATTATTGCTATTATTATGATGATGATGTTCCCAGCAAAGTGTCAACACTTTTTCAGAGTGGGGTTTCTGCTACATTGGGATGTTTTAGCCAGATCCAATTCACGACTATTTGGCTTTATATTATTAAAGGAAACTGCAGGAGCTGGAGAGAAACCCCACTTTGCGTACAAGGAAGTTGGGGATGGGGTGTGGCAACACTCGATGTACCATACAGGTAGATTCAAGAATCCACTGTTGTGCTGCCCATCTCGTCGCCACCTCGCAGCCCAAGCCTACAACAGCTGGTATTCAAAAGCGACCCCCCCCCCCCACCAAGTAACTAACCAGGCCCGAGCTTGTTTCACATCCGAGATTTAGCAAGGTCGGGGGCATTCAGGGCGATTTGGTCACAGTAATAATCCAGGACTGCCGGTGTATAGTTAAGCACACATATAAGTAGAAATCCATTCTGTGCCTCCACATGTGAATAATACATTTGTTTTAGTCCGTCGGTCTACTGGCTTTTCCAGACCAATACTATCCAGCAGCATTTGTTTAAGCAAGCAAACTCTGTAAACGGGTGTATAGTTGGTCAATGGTCTCGGCTCGGGCACATTATAGAAGCTATATGAAGCCAAGTTGCATCGTAATAATGCGAGTGCTGTTAAGGAACTTTATTTTGTGGTTAATTGACTTTTCTGACGTTTGGTTCTGGGCGTTCCTGTGACGGTTGACATGGGGCGCTCGCTGCACCGAAACATTCCACCGCGGGTGCCACCACCCCCCCTCCACCCGCCAACCGTCCCCCGCCCTCCGGCACGTGCGGCCACAGATATCCATGGCACGGCGGAGCCCGTGGTTCAAAAATATTCCGCTGGAAAATGTACACTCCCACGCGGAAAAAAAAAAACACGGGGGCGATGCGAAACACCACCGCTGCGGCTGCGACATTTTGACGGAATATTTTTCCCGGTTACATCTCATGGACGGCGCGTGGCGTGCGCGCGCTGGTAGAGGAACACGGACAAAAAGGGGACACAGGAGGTGTGGCCGCGGCGACTCCGAGGTTGCCATGACCGTGCCCAAAGACACCGAGCCAACGCCCGCGGAGATCCTGGGTTTAAAACATTTTGGTTTTAACCGTCCGTGATGGAAAAAAAACGGGTTCTCACGTATAGGCGGGGAGTTGGTTTTGCTGCCGGTCTCAAGCCCTGGCAAACAACGTTTGCATTAGGGAGGCTTCAAACTCGGTTACATGCAGTGATTCATTGCCAGCCCTAAGAATGAAAAATATTTCGCGTGCACTGGACAGTTACATTCTTTACAGGGCGCTGTCAGGTGTTGCCGCCGTGTGTGGATGAAGTCGCCGATGTTGATGCGAGTGCCGCGAGTAGTTCTGTGACGTCGTCTTCAGGGGGGCTATTTCTTCCGACACAAAGGTGGTGGTGGTGGTGGTGGTGGGTGCGGCGAGCTGCGAGAGCTGCGAATGGAAACGTCCTCTTCCTGTGACGTGACGTGACCTTGATAGGGCAAATTGAATCGGGGGGAGGGGGGGGTAGGGGAGAAAAGGCAATATCAGCTGCAAATAGCCATAGGTAGAAAATAATGAGTACACTAAAGGCACAAACAAAGCACAGAGGTGCAGCATCCTGACAACCCCCTCTGCTCTCTGTCCCCCTGGCGCCGCGTGCTTCGTACAACACGTTGAGTAAAGTAGCCCCTCGCGCTTCACGTTTACGAGATAAACGTCTTCGTCGCACTCAGGACGTTTCGCGTGTAGGCGTAGCCACGCGTCTGGCTGCCGCCTACGCTTGTGGGTTTATTTTTTTCCTCCTTTTTTTTTCTTTTGAGCGCCGCCGTGACATCACGACGGTGCCACCAGACCTGCCGGACGGGATAACCCAACGGCAAAAGAACCGCGCGGCCCCCCCCGCCACTGTACGGGCGACTGAATTATAAAATAAAATATATATACGCACGTCACGGTCCGATACCGGGGCGATTTAGGCCACGGGGGAACCGGGCGCCTCTCGCGCGACGCTGAGGCCGCGCACGAGCCGGTCCCCGGCGAGGCCCGTGAGCCGCCACTCGACGCACGTCGCACGCAAGGACGAGAATGATCGCCCTCGGCCCCCCGGCCCTGTTTGGTCACGTGTCGCGACTTCGTCTGGGGGAAACCACCTGTGCCGTGTGGGCTCCACGTTGCCTCGGCTCGGATGTGCCTGGATACCGATCCGAACCACTGATCCGGCAAAAACCTCTGGTCCTGAAGAAAAGGGGGCCTGGTGCTCCCGTGGAATTGACGGCAACACACTCACCGTTTGCGAGCGAGCGCCGAGCGAGCGCCGAGCGAGCGTTTTAGGGATGCGCAAAACAATAAATCCTTTTTCAGGACGGCTCGCAGCACCGCTGGAAGGAACTGATTAATTTAAATAAAATAAAAAACACACACCTCTGCTCGACCATTAAACACGTGGTGGAAGGTGACAGAGGTCAGCCTCGTGTCTCGGTTTACGAAGCTGTGAGGCACGTGCCTCAACGTTATGATTGCACAAGGGGGCAATTTTGGGACGGTTGTGCACACACGAGCGACGCAACCTGCGCCGAGCGACTCCGGACACTTGAACGGAGGAGTTCCATCGAGGCAACAAAATAACGCGGCACGCCAACCATTGCCGATGATGGTTGCCCCAATATTATGCTCTCGTATCGAGGCCTAAGGGATGCGAGCAGGGGGTGGGGGGGGGGGTCGGTAGGACGGCGTGCCAGGCAGACAGAGGCCGCTTGTTGGCAGCAGAAGAAGATCCTGGCACACGTGCTCAGAAGGAGGAGAAGAGCTCCGACTCCTCGCATCCTCGCGTTGTTCCCAGCACATGTTGCGGCTTAACGGTAACGCGAACCGGGCGCGAAGCTTATGGGAAACACCTGCCTCCGTTAATCCCGTCAACAGGGCTCTCCCAGCTGCCTGGCCAGCCCGGTCTTTCCCCCACCCACCTCCCCTCACGACCACCTGGCGAAGTCCCCGGGAATTCTCACTGTGCTCAGTTCCCGGCAGAAATGGCGACAGATCGGAGAGACGAGAGAACGAAAGCCCGACGAGCCAACTTGCGCTTTCACCATCGACCCGAACCCCGCCTGGGCGAGCCGGTTCCGTCCGACATTTCCGCGCCACGAGATGTCCTCGTGAAATTCGATGTCGGGTGGCGGGCGGGCGGGCGGGCGCGGGAGGGCGGCACGCGCCCCAAACGGCGCGGAGCGGCAGCCGCAGCGGCGGCGATGAGGCTGCGACGTCAACGTTACGGCGTCCCGACTGGCACGCGACCCTACCTCCCTCCCGAGCGCACGTTCCCATTCCTTGCTCTCCACAACCGCTGTCAGTTTGCTGCAGCCAAGAGGCAGGCCACCCCACCCCCCCCTCCGTGATCTCCTCATCCATCTCCTCCCGCCAAGGTCAAGAGGTCGTCGTGGAAAAATGCCGCCGATGCCAACCGCACCTAGCTAGCGCCGACTAAAGTCGGCGTGTGACCTCCGAGGTCTCCCCTTACAGTGTCCCGCCATCGGGCCTCAGGTATTCGCCCTTGTGGTCAGAGACCTCCTGGGGTGCCACTCCAATGCTCGTCTCGACACCCCTTGCACTCCTCCACGCTGCACACAGATCCCCACGCCCGTTGAAGCCGTTGCGCGAAATCTTCCTTCCGCCGGCCGCCTCTCCGAAGGCACGGGGGGGTTTTTCACTGCTCTGCAAGAGTTACGATTTGAATGCCTGGAATACTCTCCTGGCACGTTCCACAGCAACCCCCCGTCGGTTAACGCGGCAGTAGTCGATGCGTTCGTGAAAAGTGCCGCGTGAACACAAAAACCGCGTGAAGCGAGGGATCGCTGTCTTACTGAAGCGCATCTGCACGGGACAGAGTTCTGAGATGGGGGAACCCCGCCGCGTGCTGGAGCATTCCGTGTACTGGACCGCTGTACCGCTCAGCCGAGCAGCTCAAGCAAATAGTTCGTCGTCGACCGCGCAGACACCGCGTTGTGACGACGCGCGTGTATCGCGTTGTGTGAAAAGTGTTCCCGAACAGAAGAGAACCGCCTCATCAAGAAAACGCGTCGCAGTGCAAACACGCGTGTTGCCTGCACGTGGAGTATGTATGTTGAACTTCTTTGGCAACCTTGCTAATCGGAGGTGCGGGTGTTCATGTGCTTACCCCTCCTCACAACAGGCCTCCCCGATGAATCGCGACGAGCGTTGTGCACGACGTGCGTTTGATCGCGCGCCCCGTCGCCGTTTGTGCGTCTCACGCGTTCGTCTCGCGCGCAGGTGAAACTCCGCTGTCGCAAGGGGATCCCTCCGTCGCTGCGTGCGAGGGCCTGGCAGTACCTCTCCGGCGGGCGCGCGCGCCTGGCGCTCAACAAGGGAAAGTTTGATGTACGTTGCACGCACACGAGCACGCGCACATTGACCGAGATCTCCCGCACTCTGGGAGAATGGGCCGTTAGCGAGCACCTGTTAAGGGCGGCACTGCGCACAAGGTGGCGACGTCGCCAGCACCGTGCCTGGCCGCCTTTGTCTTCCCAGTGCCCGTGTTTACGCACCGCACCAAGTACTACATTTAAGGCTGGCTCGACCTAGGGGAGGCCGACTGCCAGCTCATACATTCACCACCGATGTTGGCCGCGGCCAGGAATCAAACGCGGGTCGCTAGGTTCGTAGGGCAATGCACCGAACGCTACGCTACCACTCGCCACACCCACGCACAACAACCATTCGCCTCTCTCTCCAACGCATGCGCTACCCTCTACCCAACACCCCCCGCCCCCCCCCCCCCCCCCGCTGTCCACGCAGGAGCTGGACCAGCAGGACGCTGACCCCAAGTGGGTGGACACGATCGAGAAGGACCTGCACCGCCAGTTCCCCTTCCACGAGATGTTCGCCGCCAGGGGCGGTCACGGGTGAGTCTGACGCAAGCGTGAAAGGCAGCGGCAATGAGCGGCAACGCACGCGAGCAGAACAAATCAAACGGGGGATCGACGGCGCGCGCGGAGGTGGGGCAATGCCGAGCCCTTCGCGTTGCGATCGTTATGCCCGGCAAGCGGGTGTCATCGACGCCTTCGCTTCACCCCGGTTTCTCGCCGCCGATGTCACCCGCTCGCAGCCGATGTCAACAGCGAGCGGGTGGCACGGGGCAGCGTGATGGGTAAATTAAAATGTCTACACGCTGGCGGCAGTGGCGGCGCTCGGGGCGTTGCGCTTCACGTGCAACACGCGGCAATGCGCCGGTCGCACCGCAGTTGAACTGCAGTGAACCCCCTGCGCGTGAAAAGGGCCCCCCCCCCTCCTTCGGCGAGATGAAGTGGCGCGCGCGAGCGATCCAGATCCACCGCTTGGGTTGCTGGCGCTGGACATTCACCGCCGTCGATGATTAACTCTGGTGGTCAATGATTCCACAGCACGGATCGAAGGGGGCCCGTGAGCACAGTGTGTGTGTGTGCGTGTGCAGCAGGTGTGGAGCTGGCCATTAACAGCACTTTCCCCAGTAGCCTGTATAGGCTGCCTGAGAAATATTTGTCTTTGTATGCGTGCGGTGGTGCAGTAATTAGGACACTTCTCAAAAATACCCACCGGACCTGGCTTTGATTCCCAGCCACGGCTAACATCGTTGCGCATGGTAAAATCTGAACTGGTTCTGCGCCTATCCCCGGTTCGACTCGGCCTTAAATGAGCTGGCGTCCACAGCGCGTAAACACACGAGCACTCGGGAGACAAAGGCGGCTGGGGCGCATTGCTCGTCGCCACACAGCGACCCCTCTTGCACGAACAGCACTTGCCCCCCGACCTCGCCTGCAAAGTAACGACCTTTGCGAACGTCACCTCTTAAAAATAAAACAAAGGGCCCCACGCGAGTATGAAGTCCCCGCGGTGGAATCCCGCTCGTAAAAAAAAACACGCGAAAGTTCTTGCCCCCCTGAGTGACTGTGACAGCGCGGCTCGTGAAAGAGTCCGACCGCGGTGCGTGGCAGAGGTGGCGGCGATAAAAAATAAAAAATAAAAACAGACGAAGCGGCCGTTCCAGCGAGCTGCGGCACACGCTGAACCCCCCCCACCGCGCCCCCCCCGCTCTCGGTCGGCCACCCGAGCGAGCCGCCGGCGTTTTCCCGATCGCGTTTTTTTCGATCAATTACGAGCTCGCTGCCGAGCACACCGCGTGGGCTCGGCCAGCGTGATGGAGTGACGCGACGGTCGATCGTCTGTGGTGACCCGCGTCACACTCTTTGTGACCCAGGTTCAGCAAAAATGAAACTTGAGACAGTTCTGATAAAAGCAACACACGCTTGCATTACACCGGTGGGTGGAGAAGGAAAAAAGGGCAACTTCTCATACAAGCACGCTCATTCGCAATATATAAGCACAGCTGGCCCTGGCTCCCAAGTGGTGTGCTTATATCCAGCTCCTACCACTGGGTCGCGATGACCGATGCCGGCGATGATAATTACGTGTGGCCCTCTGACGTTCCTGCGACGACGAAGGGCAAGGATGACGGTGGTGGTGATGATGGTGACGGTTAGAGCCACGGCCACCCCGCGTGACAATGGCAATGGTCATGTCGTGACAATGGCTCGATGGTATTTTCTTTTTAATTGAACAGTCGTCCCGCCCCGGCTAACGAGGCTCAAAAGTCGAAAACCCAGTCCCCCAGGGGTTTCTCTGGTGAAACAGATGTCGCCTGACAGCAACATGAAAACGACACTCCCGCTGTGTGTCGTATCTAAATACAAACGCATCTCAAGACAATGCTCAAGAGGGCCCATGAGCTGGTAAACTATTTTTAATTTTACCAGGTAAGGTCCACTGAGCTGTGTAGCTCTTTTTCAGAAACGAACCTGGCCATAAATGACAGCTCAACGAAAGTGGCTTATCATCACGCTGGAAATGTGTCGCAAATAAATACTCTAAACGTGCGATGTCGATTCTAAATGTGGAGGGATACACCGTAGGACCCAGAGAACATTCCACGCAACCACGGGGAGAGACGCAAACTCAAAATATACAGCAAGCGTCAGGGTCGGGATCAAACCCACGACCTCCTGTAGACCCGGCGAGGTAGTTAACATCTCCTAGCCACCGTGATGATGATGAGAGAGAGACATGCAAACTCAAAATATACAGCAGCATGCGTCAGGGTCGGGATCAAACCCACGACCTCCTGTATACCCGGCGAGGTAGTTAACATCTCCTAGCCACCGTGATGATGATGAGAGGCATGCAAACTCCAAATATACAGCAGCAGGCGTCAGGGTCGGGATCAAACCCACGACCTCCTGTATACCAGGCGAGGTAGTTAACATCTCCTAGCCACCGTAGCGCCCCTTCACAAATGATATTAAAAAACGATTGTGTTGAAAGAGCCCCTTGCCTTTTTATCTAGCATAGCTTTTATATGCTTCATAAAACCGAATTTGCGGTTGTATGACTGCAATGCTTAATATTTGGGGAGGGGGGGGGGATGGGTGGTGCAGTGGTAACACTCGCGCCTTTCCAGCAAGTAGAACCTGAGTTCCATTCCCCACTCGGGCCCCTTTTACTTTCTGTGCGGAGTTTTGTGTGTTCTCTCTGTTCTTCATGGGTTTCTTTCGGATTTGCTGGTTTTCTCCCATCATGGTTGTTGGCCAAACATCCCAATGTTGCAGGACCCTGATAAAAAAAAAAATCAAGCGTATCTGGACTCGGTGGGGCTTTCCTCGTTAAAGAAGTAATTATCGTTATTATAACGACGATGATGAAAATGTGGGCGACTTTGATGATGACGACGACGATGATGAAAACAATGCAGTAATGGTGATGCCATGACGATGACGATAACGACAATGATGATGATGACGATGACGAGTGCAGGCAGCAGGACCTGTTCCGCGTGCTCAAGGCCTACACCGTGTACTGCCCCGAGGAGGGCTACTGCCAGGCCCAGGCACCCGTCGCCGCTGTGCTGCTCATGCACATGCCCGCCGAGGTCAGCACACGCACCCGGACCAACAACCAAACAAAAGGCGACCACCCCAACAACAACAGCAACCACCTCAACAATGACAAACACCCAAACAACAACAAGTACCCGAACAACGACAACAAGCACCCGAACCATAATTTTGTGGCAGACACGGCGGTGGCAGTCTTTGGCAAGTGGTATTTTAATATAATAATCATAATAATAGCACGATCAGAGAGAGGGCTCTGTGATGATAATGATGCCGTCGACGATAATACGAATGGCGATGGTTTTTGTGTGTTTTCCCGCAGCAAGCGTTCTGGTGCTTTGTTCAGATCTGTGAGAAATATCTTCCTGGATACTACAGTCCTGGCCTGGTGAGTAGCTCAATCCAACAACAACAACAACAAAATCTCATCGAGTGAAATAATGAAATAGAAAATGATGGAGGCAGAGTGGAGCGGTGGTGTAATGCGGTGTGTGCCTCCACAGCAAGAACGGCCTGGGTTGAATTCCCGGTAATGGGTGCCTTTCTGTGTGTGGAGTGTGTATGTTTCTCCCCATCTGTTCTGCGTTGGGTTTCCACCCAGTTTCCTCCCATAAGCTAAAGACAAACACCGCAATGGGTATTGGCCCTTCGTCCCATTTTTTGGAAGAAGAAGAAGAAGAGGAAGAGGAAGAAGAAGTTACCTGCAAATTACTTCACAGGGGAAAGGAAAAAAACAGATTCGGCAACTTCGAAAAACTGCACGTCCCACGAGGTTTGATACTCGGCAAGACTTTCCTGGGTAAACTAGCGTAGTGATAATAATAATGATAACATCAGAATAAATGCTACCAACCAAGTCGGGCTCAAAATATTTTTTGAGTGCAACTCAAAGCAGAGTCTCCAGGCTCTCAGGATTTCTGTGCGTTGGGATGTTTGGCGAATCCCTTATTAATGGGTGTTTTTTTTTCGTGCGGACGAACCGACGGAAACTGGAACGCCCAGAAATAAACCGATGAGTGTGAAGGGGAGGACACTCGGTGATCGACACAGATGGGGGTCTGGAAGCTGCTCGCTTGTTACTTCCATCTGCTGGCCACCCAGCGTATCACAATTCTGCGTGATCCACCAACCCCCCCCACCCCCCCGGCCTCCACCGTGCTTGGGTGGGGTGGTGGTGGTGGGTCGGTGGGGCTCGGGAGCAGTGAGATGTATGTATGTTGAACTTCTTTTGCTAATTGCAGATGTGGGGAAGGGACCGCAAACTAAACACAAAAAGCAGTTCTAAAGAAATGAGTTTCAATCTAGATGATTTAAAAGTGCATAAGCTCCAGTGGCTTCCTAATATCGGAAGGAAGAGCGTTCCAGACGGCCGGTGGGGAGATGAGAAGTTGGGGCGGTGTGGAGCAGGAGCGGTGAGATAGTGGGGAGGTGGGAGCGGTGAGGAGGTGGGTAGATGGGGAGGTAGGAGCAGTGAGGAGGTGGGTAGATGGGGAGTTGGGAGCGGTGGGGAGGTAGGAGCGGTATGGCGGCGGGGGTTGTGTGGCGGCGGTGGCGCGGTGCGGGCGCGTGTGAATGAGCGCCTGGCGACTCCCGCAACAACGTGACCGCCCGTGTGTTGGTCGTCGCGTCGGCAGGAGGGCGTGCAGCTGGACGGGGAGACGCTGTCGGCGGTGCTGAAGAAGACGTGCGCCCTGGCGTACCGCCACCTCAAGAAGCACAAGGTGGACCCCATCCTCTACATGACCGAGTGGTTCATGTGCGTCTTCTCCCGCACGCTGCCCTGGGCCTCCGTGCTCCGAGTCTGGGACATCTTCTTCTGCGAGGGTGAGGGCCTCCTCACAACCCCGCCGCCGCCGCCGCCTTCACTGTTACGACCGCCACTACGGCTACTGTCGCGAGCACCACCGCCATCGCTACCATCACAATACTGTTATGATTGCTGCCACCACCACTACAATTACCGTCGACACCACCACCATCGTCACCACCACCGCCACCACAATTATTATCACCAATATTGTCACCGTAGAAACCATCGCCACCAACGCCACGACAGCCACCGTCATCGCGGCTACCACAATCACCGCTGCCACGTTCACCGCCACCACCACTACCACCACAATCGCCACCTCCACTGCCAGCACTTGCTTGCTTTGTGACGAAGCTATTTCCACTATTTATAAATGTATTATACAAGACGAAAGACACCAAAGCCGTAGCATGAACATCGAATGAAATGGAAAATTATTCCTGGAAATGCTAGGCCCGAGGATGGAAAATAAAACCATCTCAAAGTTCATCAGGTCACGTTTTTGGACGGAAGGATGTGTGCTCTATTCTCCCTCCCTGCCCCGTGTAACGAACTGCACTTGAACATTGCGCGAGCGGCCTGCTCTCACCACCTGGCCAGAGTGTGGTTGTAAGCAGCGGGTCCCGGGCACACCATCGTCGCTATGGTTCCGAGTTGTTCAGCTCGAGGGGAAAGGCGTTCCAACGAGCTTCCAAATGATGCGTTCATCGTCATCGATGCCTCGACGCCTCGGGGTTGCAGCGATGAGAGCGCAGCGGGTAGCTCGCTGTGATAAGAATCCGGCGACGTGAGTTTGATTTCTGGCACACAGCTAACATCAGTGGCGAGCGATATCTAAATCGGTCTTGGGCACGCCGCTCCCCTCCCCCTCCCCCGTTCACCAACTCGCACTGACCAGCGTAGTGAAGTATGGTCAAACAACATCCCATAACTGACATGGCATGGGGAGGCCTGTATCCTGCAGTGGTTTGACAAAGGGCTTTAAATGATGATGATTATTTTAAATGTAATTAGTTTAGAAATAATTTATGTTTTTCAATTCGTATATACATATTTGCCATACTGGGGTTACTTGATCACTGTAGGAACTTGTGGCCTCTCCTTTCAGCACAAAGTTGGAAGAGAGGATTGATCCTTGAATTGTTTGATTGTTGAACTTCTTTCACACTGTACGTAGCCAATCGTGCTAATCGGAGGAATTTAATGCGTTGATGACTCGTTTAATACATTACAGCAACATTCACTCAGAAATGATTCTGGCGATCCACACCGATGGATATTTCTGGTTAACATTGCAGGCCACTGGTACTGATTTTTTTTATTAACCATAACTGGCCGTTTAATTGCAGAGGGTGAGAGAAATTCCTCCTGAAATTCCACGTTAATTCAAAAGGTCGTGAAAAAAAAAACAGCTCTCAGCAGCGGCACCGCCAAGTGCTCGCCCACAACTAAAATATTGTTCAGAAAATGGCTGCGAAAAATTGGCCCGGCGTCGCCGGGGAAAAAGAACGCCGCCACCTCGTGCCACCGTCGCTGCTGCAACCTCCACTCCTCTCCCCCACCCTGCCCCCCCTCCCACCCTGCCCACCCTGCCCCCCCGCCCCACCACTGCCCCCCCCCCCCCCCCCACACGACCCAAGTCCCAGCAGCCCTCGGCAGGCAGCGGCGTTCACGCATCGGCAGAAACCGAACACGTCCACTCCATCTTTATTATTATTTTTCTCGCGTCAACACAAAACCTAAAAAAAAAAGCTATTTACTTAATCGGCGTGGAGTGCGACTCCAGGGGACTCGAGGGGAATGCACACTTCGTGCAATTACGGCGAGATTGCATCTCCCGCGAGCTAGCGAACGAACAAGCGAGTGAGCGAGCTTGCTCCGGTAGAGCGGCCGGGTGGGCGGGCGGGCGGGCGAGCCACTGGCAGCAGCCCTAATTGTTCCATAAACCTCCACGGGCAGGGGAGCTGTGCCAACCCCCGCCAAGTGTTCCGTTTGTACCCCGACCCAGATGCCTGAGACGTATCGAGAAACTTCCTCGGGGGAGGGAGACAATTTTAATGGTCTGAAGAGGAAGGGGGGGGGGGAGGGAAGATTCCCCCCACCCCCCTCCCCTTTGATCTGCCACTGCTTGCCGGTGGTAGCGCTGCTAGGTTGCTGTTGGTGAGAGTGCTGATGGTGCTAATGGTGATTATACCCTTGGTGCTGTTGACGAAGATGCTGGTTCTGATGGTGCAGCTGCTGTTGCGCATCATAGTGTCTTTGCTGCTGATGCTGCTGCTGCGGTTGCTGGTGGTGATGTCATTAGTATAACCTTCAATCGAGGAATAATATTGTATTTCAAGCAAACTATAAAAAATGTATATTTTCCATCGCTCAGCTCAGCCTAACATGGAGTATTCATGTTCTCGTGAACACGAGCCACTCGGTTCAAATAATAACGGCGCACTGCCCTTTATTTAACCGTGGTGATGATGTCACCTTTATTCTATTTAAGACCGGAAGCAAGGAAGACACCTTCACAATTGTGGCACATTCGCCCAATGTAGACGGTTGTAATCTCTGGCGAAACGTCGCACTCCAAATTGTAAATGTTGTGGGTTTACTCTCCAACACACCGGTGTGCTGAAGTCCTAACTATAATTGGCACGTTTTATTTACGTGACAAACATCACTAATTGGCTGTATCGGGTGGTGGCGGGATTAACGACGCATTTATATTTACGTGATCTAACCCAAAATAAACTTTTATTATGGATATCGGTCGTGAAAGCCTACGCATTAAACCGTCGGTCCCTCTCGTCTCGCCAGGCTTGAAGGTGGCGAGTTAACGACACGTTTATATTTACGCAATGTAACCCCCCCCCAAAAAAACAACCTTTATTACGAATAATATCGTTCGCGAAAGCCTACTTATGCTTTAAACCGTCGGTCCACTCTCGTCTTGCCAGGCGTGAAGGTGGTGTTCCGCGTTGCCATCTCCCTCCTGCGCAACACCATCGGCAGCTCGGACAAACTGCGCGATTGCCAGGGCCTCTACGAGACGATGGAGAAGCTGCGCAACATCCCCGCTGAGTACATGCACGAGGACAGGCTCATGCACGAGGTGACCACCCCATCCCACAAAACGAAACTAAACTGTTAAACTAACGATTTGTTTTTTTTACTTACCAGGTAAGGCCGACTGAGCTGCTTCGCAATTTTTTTCAGAAGCGACCTGGCCATCACAAACGATAGCCCAACGAAGCGGCTTGTCGTGTGGAAATGTATAGCAGCAGCAGCAGCCAAATACTCTGAAACGCGCGACGTTGTTGATTCTAGATGTGGAGGGAAAAACCGGAGGACCCGGAGAAAAATTCACGTGACCATGGGGGAGAGACAACGTGCAAACTCCAAATGTACAGCAGCAGGCGTCAGGCTGGGGGGATTGAACGCACGACCTCTTGTAAACCAGGCAAAGGAGTTAACATCTCACTGCCGTGGCAAGCCATGGATCAGTACGGATCTTGGAACGCTTTCAAACATGCGTTTTGCCCCCCTCGGAAGTCATTAATTGGCGATAATTGTGACGGTACAGCGCGCGTACCAGGCTCACAGGAAACGGTACGTCGGTAGGCCGCGATGGGACAATGGGTCTCGCATAGCGGATCTGCCCGGGCAAGGCGCGGGGGCTACCATTTTTGTCCATTACCCCACATCAATGAGAAATAGATGATTTTGACTAACGACTGACGTTTCACGTTTGGCATGCCATGTTACAACGCTCCATAAATTCTCATTGTTATGAATATCAACACTTTGGTCAATCCGGCTGTATTTCTACGGGGTGCATCCCTAACAGCAACACAGCTTTAGCCTAAAGTTGAGTCTGCATGAGATCATCTTCACGATCCCCCCCCATCCTCCATTTGAGACGGACGAACATACGGCCAGAGCCAGCGCATGATTAATAACTAAGATTTATAAGGCGCCCTTAAACAGCGAATCTCAGAGCGAGTGCCGTGCATGTAAAGGAGGATTATAAGTGAAAAGTAACGGGGGGAGAGAAAACGACTTGAGGGACTAGATCGGGAACTCGAGAGAGAGAAGGCCGTTTTCAACAGGTAGTTGGTGACTTCATCCGAGACTTTTAGAAGTTTGCATCGACTGCGAGTTCATGACCTCCAAGGTGGGACAGGGAATCCCAGAGCCTGGGCGCTGTGTTGACAAATAAAGCTGATTGGGGACTCCGGGTTCGGAGCCTGGAGTGCGGTCACGCGGAGTTTGGGGGGGGGGCACGATGGCTGTGGATGTCAGAGACTTATCTCAGTGCAGGAATGTGTGGCTGAATCACCATCTGGATGTATGATGGAGTAAGCCCATTTAAAGCCTCAACACAAGTCGGGGAATCTGAAACTCATTCACGTAGTGTGTACGTTGAACCTCTTTAGCGCCGTACGTAGCCAACCGTGCTAATCGGAGCTTGCTTTCAACGCCACAATCCTCCCCGCTTGGCTCCCGAGATCTGACGAGTTGATTGGGTAACGGGGCAGACGCGTGCCTTCACGCGAGTGCCCCCAACGCTGGAGAACGGTTGTAAAGAACGAGGTGGGAATGCCGGCGGTGGGGTTCGGCGGGCGGTTCAAAGTTCAGACAGTACGTGGAGTGATAAAGATTCGAATGTGCACGGTGCCTTAAAAATACAAAAACAATTTTTTGTTGAGGCCCTCTTCACGGGGCGATTCCGCATGAAACATACACGGGGGGGGGGGGGGGGGGGGGGGGGTGGGGGGTGGGATGTGAAACAACGAACACACGGGAATGGAAACATAAAGGGTTACGTAAAAAGTCGTACAAATTGGACCAGCGGGCACAATGCCGCGCAGATCATCACGGAACCGAGAAGCTTTGATCAACGGCAGTGATCCACCTCGACCACCGCAACAACCTCCACGTTGACTGTAATTGTCAATATGTAAACGGCAGACAAGTGCTACGGATCTTTTCTTTACTACACCTAGTTGGAGGAGCGCATACCAAGGGGGGGGGGGGGGGGTGGGGGGGTGAGTACAAATGGGGCAGAGTACATGTGAGACATTGCAATGGTACAAACAAAATTGTACAGGCAGCACACGAACGGGACAGTACGAATGTGAGACGCTACAAACGAGGAAGAACAGAATCGACGATTAGATCATCATCAAATCGTGGCAATTTCTTGAATGGGCGGGTTCGGGGGAGAGTGTGGTGGAGTCTGTGTGGGGGGCGTGTAGTGGGTCAATTGTTCACGAGCCTAAACATCTGTCGTGTGTGCTGTGTGGTGGTAACTGTTGGGAGTGTTGTGGTTTTGAATGGGGGTGTGTGGGGGGAGGAAAGTGGGAGGCGGGGATCGTCTGGGATAAACAGCCTCGCTCCTCCACGCGCGTTCGCCTAAAACTGGCAGCCGAGAGAGTGCAACTCAAATCGCAGACTTGGCTTCAAGCAACGCTCTAAAGTCGGGGGGCCAAAAAAAATTTAAACGTTCCCAGATGTGGACCCCGGGCCTCGCGAGCGTGTCGAGTGTTGACCGGTTCCACCGGCCGCCCACCGAACTTGCCCCCGCGGTCTTTGCCACGTCCGTCGGAAAACATTTTTCCATGTTTTCGGGGCGGCTAGGAGAGAAGAGAGTGGGAAGGGAGCGCGGTATTTTTCACTTGGTCACCGTGCCGAGCTAAACAGCTTCCTCTCCTCCATCCCCTCCCAACCCCGCCCCCCCTCCTTTCTCACGCCAACTCATCAGGTGCTGGAGTTGGAGGTGACGGAGAGCCAGATCGAGACGGAGCGGCAGAAGCAGATCGGCAAGTGGAAGGAGCAGAAGGGCAGCCAGTATCCGGCTTCGTCGGTGCACCGGCTGTACGGCACGCGCGCCGTGCACGACGACAGCAAGGGCGCGCCGGTGCCGGCTCCCTCCGACTTCACGCCGCCTTCGCCCTCCTCCACCGCGACGATCGCCCGCGCTCCGCTGTCACCCACGGGCAGCATGGCGAGCATCAGGCTGGGCAAGGATGACACGAGGATGAAGAAGAAGGCCGACAAAGAGCGGGAGAGGCTGAGGAAGGAGGAGGAGAAGAACAGGGCCCTGGAGGAGAAGGAGAGGCTCAAGCTGGAGAAGAAGAAAAAGAAAAGGAGCGGCAGCGAGAAGGTTGACCGCTTGGCCAACGGCCACCAGGACTCGAAGAACGGGAAGGCCACGGCGGGTCCCGGCGAGCGCCACTCGCTCGCCGACCCCGACATGAACCCGGAAGTTAAGCGCTCGACTCTGAGCATCCTGTCCGAGCTGTCTCTGGAGGAGACGTATCTCTGATGGGTCGGGGACGGCCGTGCACATGCGCTAACGATTTCGAATTCACAGTTGGGTGGTGGGGGGGGGGGGAGTTGGAGGGGAGTGGAGGGGGGAGGGTGGGTGAGGGGATGAGGGGAGGAGGGAAAGTTGGAAATAAAAACAATTCCTTGGTCGTTATGTAAAGTAAAATACAACACTGAATTTTTTTTGTATAAACCCATCAGGGCTGGACATTACGTTGAATTGCTGGGAGGGGCCGAGGAGGGGTGGGGTTTGGGATCCGGGCTGAGAGACGGCGAGAGACAGGCATTTCACGGGATTGTGCGTGGCGTGGGATAGGACGGGAAGTTTTTCCGAATCCCAAATGCCGCCACACGAAATGAGCGACCCTTTTGCCGACGAAATCCCGCCAGGGGGTGGCGGCGGCGGCGGCGGTGCGAGTCGCACCCGCACGGAGGGCACTCCAGTCCCGCTGCACTTTGTTTACCCGCTGTGTTTTGACCACTTGGGGTGGTTACCGAGAATTCCGATTTCACGTGGCCCCCCCCCCCCCCGGGCCTTGCTTCCCTCTCCCTCGCGCTGTTCCGCGCCGCGTCGTCGCACCGCAGGCACTCGCGGGCGGGCGGGCAGGCGGGCAGGCGAGCGACGAGATTGCCTGTGGGGGGTGGGGGGGAGCGTCTTCGACTGGAAAAATGTAGACTTTTTAAAAGCTTAGCCCCCCCGGCTCGGCGACACGCGTCTGCTCGCGCGTCCGGACGATGGAGCGCGCCGCCGCCGCCGCCGCCGTCCGCGAGGGATGCGGAGAAGTCTTCCTCGGTTGTTCCCCGCCGGCGTCCGAGTGCCGACGGAGAGAATCCCAACGCCGGAGCTTTGCGAGCGTGGGGCCTCCACCTCCCCGAAAGCGGGGGGGGGGGGTGCCTTCTCGCCACGGCGACGGTCGCACGTCCGAAGGCTCTCGGTCGCGATGTTGAGCCGCCGCGGCAAAGCTCGACGTGCCGATTTTACGGACACGACCTCCACCTCCCCGCCCCCGCCCCCGCCCCCCCCATCTCTCCGCCTTCACAACTTCGTCTTCGAAATATTCACGTTGCCAGTTTTGCCACATTCTTTTCCCCTTTTTGATGTCATAATATCATGTTAACTGTTACAGTACCGCAGCAGATTTGTATTAACTGATGTAAGCAATCGTGTACAAATATATAATACGACTACTTGCGGTATAGGAAATTGAATATAATTTAAGCAAATGTTGTTTTTGCACCGTAAAGGGCAAAAGAAAATCACGTTTGAGTTTACCGCATTCATGGTATTGAATTACGCACGTATTGCCCTACACGGCTAGATCACTAAACGGGGAAAATCGCTTTTAGTTAGACAAGACGCTAAACACACACACACGCGCGCACGCGCGCAGACGGACGGATGGATGCAATCGAAACGTTTAACGCGTAGGGGGCCGGGCGCGACCGATGCGATGGCACGCGGTTGTGACGACACAACAAGTTGCGTGGGGGGGGGGGCGTGCTTTGAACCCCCTCCCCAGTTCCCCCCCCCCCCTCCCCTCTCTACGTTTACACGAGGGACTTGGCGCTTCCTACCTTGGCTCCATCGTATCTCGGGAGTCACCGCATCGGCTCAAGATCGGCAACCCCCCCCTCGATCCGAGCAACGTGGGGATATCCCCCTCCCCCCACCCCGCCCTGGTGACTGCAGGTCGCCCCAGCCAGTCGCGGGGTGCAGCATCTCTTCTGAAATCGCACAGAACACTTCCGTCGGTTGGCTCGATTGACCAACTTTTATAATCGAATGCGTAAGGCAATAATAATAATAATGATGTAGTGTGATTGGGGCGGGGTGGGGGGGGCTATATGTGTATTGTTTTGTTTCCTTTGTCGATTTACAATCACCGTAGAAGAGCAATGCGACTCGCCAAGGAGCCCACCCCATGTCAAGGGGGCGTTGATTCAAGCGTCTAAAATCACGAGGATTGTATTTGCTTCAGTCCGAGGCAAGAGGATTATAGGACCTGCAAATAAGGCACTTTTGTAAATTGTCAATGTGCAGTCGGAGTCAAGCTAACGATTAAAGTCTCATTCGTTGCATACGGGATTTGTTGTCCTCTCGTGCTGACGTTTTGTAATATTTTTTTTTATTCTTCGGGACGACTTCCATCTCCTTGAGTGCGAGCCCCGGGGGGTGAGGTATCGACGTCCACGTCGCCCGTCTCTCTCGCGCCCACTGCTTTGGCGAGCCACTCGCGACCGGCGAGATTGGATGAGGCAGAGGGCGCAGGGAGTCTGGGCAGGGCTCCGGCTGGGACTCTCCTCCGAACTCCCTGGACCGGTGCTCGTCATGGCAAGGCCCCAAATGGGGGCTACTGGGAGCCCATGGTGGTGACCTCTAGTGCGGTCCCTGACGTGTGGCCCCCCTCCACCCCCAGACAATATACAGAGTGAAAAAAACCCACCACCATCATCACCGTGCTGCTGTCACAACCCCCCCCCCCCATGGTTTCAAATGTGTGGCGGCCCCTCAAGCACTGCTGGCGACGTCTTATCGGGCGAATGTGCCCACCACCACACCGCCCACGACTCTCTCTCTCGCGACGTCCAGAGCCACCTGCTGGCCCCTTCACGGTGACGCGCACCGTGCGTGGCCCACGTGTGCTCGACTATACCTGGCTGTCACAAGTGCATAAGCCAGTGCCGGATTAAGCGAGTGCGTGGCCTGTAGCGTATTGTTATAAAGGGGCTCTAAATGGAAAAAAAGGAAAAATATTAAAACACAAATTTTTCACTAGCATAGTAAAGTCAATTGTATTTTTTCATTTGCTATACAGCCAGATAATACGACAAATCGCTAACCTTAAACACCCAGTCGTTCATAAAAGTTTAAGGCGGTATAGTAACTATAGTAATAGAGCAAGTGCAGAATCACTGATCCGGAATTGATAGCTTGAAAGCATTTAGCGCGTGGCACTTGAAAGTGCGGAGCCCGTAGCATATGTAGCTACTTTTGCTACTGGGATAATCTGGCAATGTGCATCCCTGTCAACCCATGCGGTTTACTCCGTGTTCTTTTGCAGGGAAATTGAGTTTTGAGGTCCATACGGCGTACAGCCGTTTCAATACGGGCAAAACAAAAACTGATGGTCTATTTGTGTTTCTCCCTTGTGATGAGACTTTGTAGGATGAACGTTGAGATTTATAAGGGGGCATGAGGTGACCAATAAGGTCTGATTTGGGCTGTAATAAGGTAGGGCACTGAATAAGGGGTTGACAGGTATGCAAATGAAAGCTCAACGAAGCAGCTTATCGTCGTGTGGAAGCTTATAGCGGCAGCCAAACACCCTAAACGCGTGTTGATTCGAAAGAGTAGTTGAACCCACCATGACCGTGACTACTCAATCACTCAGAATGTCAGGCTACCCCATCAGACCGCTCAGCCTGGTGTGGTGGGACAGGCAATCGTGACGCATATAACATTGCGTTATCGGTTGTTGCAGGCTGTTCATCTGCAGAGGGCAAGTGTCGCAACAACCATTGCGTGACTCTGCGATGCCACAGCAGACGATTCGTGCCCGCATATATATGTTAGATCGTACAGTTGGACCTCTTTCGCCACCGTACGTAGCCAACACAGCCAATCGGAGGCCCAGCGTGTTCCAACGACCGCGCACAGAACGGTAAAAAACCATCCTCCACAACCCACTTTGGGAGCGCCTCATTCAGCAGTGGATCGACAAAGGGACCGTGTGCAGCTACAGGCAGTTCGGTATCAAACCCATTCAAGACTGCAGTACAGTATTCAAGAATGCTCGGCACAACTGGAGGCGAGTTATAACAAGCCTCTTTTAGCGATGTGCTGACATTGTCACTTAAGGATTAATCACCACGTACACAATAATAGCGCCGCTGTGGTGAGATTAACTACTTCGCCTGCTGTACAGGAGGTCCTGGGTTCGACCCTGACACCTGCTGCTGTATATTTGGAGTTTGCGTGTCTCTCTCCCCGTGGTCGTGTGGATTTTTCTCCGGGTCTTCCTGCTTTTCCCTCCACATTTAGAATCAACATCACGCGTTTAGAGTATTTAGCTGCCATAAATGTCCACGTGATACCAATCCATTTCGTTGAGCAATCATTTGTGGCCAGGCCGCTTCTGAAAAAGAGCTATAATAGCTCAGTGGACCTTACCTGGTAAAATAAAAAGTTTAGTAATACAAAGTTTTAGTTTAGTTTACACTTTATTAAAAACAATCTGACCAACTACATTGGTAAAGGTGCAGCCATGTAATTGCAGTATCTACAGAGCAGCAGTGGTTCTTAAACCATTGTGTGCGGACCCCTTTTCAATATTTAACAAACCACCACCACACGCTAAAGGTAGTCAATTGAAATTGCACACTTCCTTGAGGATGTTATTATACTGGACGTCTGTGAAGAGCTTTATAGCTCATCAGATTTCTCCAGTATAAATATTCTGATTCCTGTATTTTTTTCCGCGAATTCCCTGTAGTACGCTTCGTGGACCACCAGGGGGTCCGCGAACCACAGGTTTGGAGCACCGCTGCTGTAGAGTGTAGAGCAGGGGTGGGGAATGTCCGGCCCGTGAAATCATTTGGTCTCTGGCCCTGCCAAGGCAACCGCAGGCGAGACTCGAAATTCAATAAATCTAGAAGCAAACCTGGAAAAGCAGTTGCGAGTAGCAACATCGTCAATACCAGCTAACATCATCAATACCAGCTAACATCATCAATACTAGCTAACATCATCAATACCAGCTAACATCATCACACGCCTCGCCAAAGAGAAGCAGTTCCAGCCATCGCATTAGGGGTGAGTTAATTAAACGTTTGACCAAATATAACAGGCTAATTTTTAAGTTGATAATTTTGTATGGCCCGTGAATGATGTTATAAATATCCAAATGGCCCTTGGCAGAAAAAAGGTTCCCCACCCCTGCACGAGATGAGGCACCAGAGAGCTCCTCTCGAAAAATGTTTTTCCTGCCTCTTCCATGCTGGCAAAAACTTTCGTTTTGGGAAGAGGTGGGAAGATGCTCACACTTCACCCCACACGTGTCCTGCCACTCGAGT